TTTCAAAAATCACAAAAATAGGTCATCGCTGCAGATAACGCCCTCTAGCTTATTTGTTTTAAACCAAACGGTCTTACTGAAAATATCTTTTAAAACAGCATAAAATGCTCTTTCAAACGAGACCAAAAATATTCAAATTGGTTGAATGGTTCAGGAGATGATTGAATGGTTGAATGGGTTCTTATTATGACAGATATGAGAAATATTGCAAAACAAAAGCGATGTGGTATTATCCAAGCTATTAAATGATGTTGTCAAAGTTATAGCTCATCGTCTAACTTTCTGAGATAGCGGGAATTTTATGTTTCTCTAAAGCAGTTACGCCCCCTAGCGGTCAAATTACGAACTTCAAAATAATTTCCATCTATTTCTCTTACCCACTTTGCCTATAAGTATTTTTTCCCAATCCTCTAGTCCTTACCGTTGTTGAGATACAGCCGCTAACGGGACACCCTGTACAGGTGTCTCACGTAAGCGGCAATGTACATAAATGGTATTAAGAAGACGAGATACACTCCTTAGACAAAAGTTGTAGGAAATTTACCATACTATAAACGAAAAATATTTTTATACATACAGAGTGTTCCATAACGACGTACCGAAATAAATATACAGACTGGTGCAGTTTTTAATCAGGAAACTTTACTAGGATGTAGCACTTGCCAAAATAACACAAGTTTTTTATATAAATATAGGGTCGCAACTGTTTTGTTTTCGAGCTATGCGCTGTCAAAGTTGAGCCAAAAATTTACCTTTTATCTATTATTTCTGGTACAAGTAGACCGTAAAATTAGGAATTTTGTATGTACTAGTTAATACCTTATTTTCAACCATACCTTAAACTTCCCTAGCGCCCTCTCAAGGGTTGAAATTCACAACCCCTTTGATTTTTTTATAACAACCTTTTAACGCCATGAATTATTAACATAAAAATATATGGGTTGTAAAGCTTATTCATTACTAGTAATTTTTTTATCTTTAGTATTTTCCTTAAAGATAATAGTTTTAGCGTAAAAAAAATAAAATATGCTACATTGTACTGTAAAGCGCTGCTATTAGTAAAAAAAAAATGTCTTTATAGCTGGCTATGGAAGTTGTGATTTTCATAACAAAAACCATAAATAAGATGAATGTCTGAACAAATTACGTGGTTGTAAACAATATTAACAAATTAATACTATTTCTTAATAACAGTCAAAAATTATTAATAATCATCAACAATTATGAGGATTCATCGAAAATGAAACTTACAAGTTCTCAGAGCCAACTTTTAGAATAATTTTTAGTTAAACATAGCGGTACATGGCACGATATTTTATTTTTTTACACTGGAACTATTAACTTTAAGGAAAATACTAAAGAGAAAAAAAAGTACCACTAAAGAATGAGCTTTACGACCCATATTTTTTTATGTTAATATTCCATAGCGTTAAAAAGTTCTTATTAAAAAAAAAATCAAGGGGGTGGTGAATTTTATCGCCTTAGAGGACGCTGGGGAAGTTTAAAGTATGCTTGAAAATAAGGTCTTAACCAGTAATAAATACGTACAAAGTTTCAAATTCTACGGTTTATTTAAAGCCGAAATACAAAAGAAAACGTAAATTTTTGGCTCAACTTTGATCGGTCATAGATCGAAAACAAAAGAGTTGCGACCCTATGTTTATATAAAAAATTTGTGTTATTTTGACAAGTAGTACATCCTAGTAACGTTTCCCGATTAAAAACTGAACCACCCTGTATATTATTTTAACCTTCGAGCGGGCGCGCTGTCATAAAATTTATGACAATTTTCCTTTTTTATATGTATGTCCTTATATTATGCATTTAAAAGGATTTAACGCTAAAGAATTCGTGTAACTATGTATGTATTTTCAACATAATAAAAAAAAAATTAACAAAAAAAATATTGTTATTGTCTTTATGGCAAAAAACGGTATAAAAGACAAGAAATTTGATTGAAAATTGATGATTTATAAGGCCGTATTTATATTATGGGATGTCTTTAGGGATATACAGGGTTCCCCATAATAGGCTACCCATTTTGAAATTTGAATTAAAATTTTTTTAGTTAACAAAACAAACTTTTTATTATACTAAATTACAGCTAACTTTTTGGGATTTATGATAACTTATAAATATTTGGCTAATTTAATTCTAACTTTTAAAAATCACGTCTTCTAATTGACCTCCACCAACTTCAACACATTTTTCAATATTAGATAAAAAGTGGTTCATTACACGGCGTAGCAAACCTTCGTCTATTCCTTCAACTTCTTCACGAATTTTGACTTTGAGTTCCTCGATTGTACCTGGACGACTCGCAAACACTTTGGCTTTTAAATATCCCCACAGGAAAAAATCGGGTGCCGTTAAGTCGGGGGACCTCGAAGGCCAAGGCAAATCTCCGAATCGAGAAATGAGTCGACCATTAAACATTTCTCGCAGAACCCTCATTGAGTTTCTGGCGGTATGAGCTGTTGCCCCATCTTGTTGGAATAGTAAGGGATTGTTTAGTAATCCTCGTCTATTTAATTCTGGAATGAGGAATGTCTCTAGCATGTTTACGTAGCGCTCGGATGTTACTGTTACAGCGCGGTTATTTTCATCCTCAAAAAAATATGGACCAATAATACCAAAAGATCCTACTCCACACCACACAATAACTTTTGGATTATGGAGGTTCTGTGTAAAGATTTCACGAGGATTTTCATTTGACCAGTATCTAAAATTCTGTTTATTAACCATGCCGTTCAAATAAAAATTTGCTTCGTCGCTCATTAGGAGATTGTGAATTGCTCCTTGATGTAAATCCAAAAATTCTTGACAAAATGCTAACCTTGCTTCTTTATCTTGATTGCTAAGGTGCTGTGCCATTTGGTACTTATAGGGATGAAATTTTAAATCCTTTCGAATAATTCGATCTAAGCTTCCCTTTGATATTCCTAGGATAAGGCTTTGTCGATTAGCAGACCTTTTAGGACTTCTTGTAAACGCAATTCTAACTCGTTCAATATTTTCTGGTGTACGAATTGTTCTTCGACGTCCAGGCTTCTTCAAATCTTGTACAGAACCATTTTCACGCCAATGACGAACCCATAACTTAACAGTTTTACGATTTGGCGTGTGACCCCTATTGTTGTTATTAAACTGACGCCGGAATGCACGCCTAACTTCTTCTATCGAATTGCTTCTAATGTAAGTTTCTACACAAAACACACGTTGTTGGACTGAGTAATCCATGAAAGTTCAAACAGATGTTGAAAAAAAATGACGAAACTAAAAATAATATCGAATATTATCTCGATAATAATAATTAATAATTTAAAACTTATTTGTGACAGGCGACTACTTGATTAATAATTAACTTAAATCCCAAAGACTACAGAAGATATTCCCACAGAGAAAAACTTATTTAGTTATCTCATAGGGAATTTATTAATAAAATAAAATGGGTAGTCTATTATGGGGAACCCTGTACAATACGTTTTTGAAAAATACAGGTCCGTAATGACAATTTTATCGGCATCGAAATTTTTTCTTCATCTTTTCAATATTTCAATTTTTTCGGTTTTCCGTGAGTTTATAGAATTATTCCATACATGCAAAGATTTAATATTTTTCGAGCGGGCGCGTTTTCAATTTCTGTCAACTTAAAAATTTATTGTGGTAAGCAACCAGATGGTCCATATATGGTATCTAACAAACCGATGGATTTTGTAAAGAGATTAGTTGAAACAATAGAAAATTCTAACAGAAATGACACTAACAACTACTATACTAGCGTTGCTCTAGTAGTTTATCCATTACAGAAGAAAATAACACTGCCTGGAACAATAATAAAGAACTAGCGAGAAATCCAATCAGAATTCTTACCAAATAAAAGTCGAGTCGGTTATTCGACATTATTTGGATTTCAACAAATAAAATGTTAATTTCTTATGTACCACTCAAAATTAAAGCCGTTCTTTTCCATTCCACGATATACGATGACAGAAATAATAATAGATTATAATTCGACCAAAGTTGAAGTTGACATGCTGAACAAATTGTGTGACACTTAACACGATAACTGCATTACTAAAAGATTACCATGTGTCATCTTTTTTAATTTGTTGTTAAATATTGCCGGTATAAATGCGTATTACAATTTCTCCCAACAGATAGCAGAATAGGATACCACCGTTTTACACTAGCACTATCACTAGAACTAACGCAAGACCTAGAATTAGTTTAGTTGTCTAGTTGTCAGTCCAGTGTTAGTTCTAGTGGCAGTGGTAGGTAGCGTTAGTTAGATTCTAGGTCTAGTGTTACACTAGAACTAACACAAGATCAAGAAATAGAATCATTCGGGTTTAGCTATACTGAGAGACGTGCGATTAAATCCGAATGTTTCTAGGCGGTCGGCAACATCTCAAATTTTCCTAGTGTAATTTTTACTTAAAACTGACCAATACCCTTCTTTTTTGGCGCTTCTCTTTGAAAACACTCCTCCGAATTAAAAAATAGAGTAACTAATAAATATAATTTAATCCGAGATGTGCAATAAACGCAAATTCAAACAAAGTGCCAGAAGAGACTTGGGCGAAACGGTCATTTACAACATCCAGGAACATTTAAAACAAATTTCAAAACCACACCGTTGGGCAACGTATTAACTTAGAAAGGTAGATTATCTTTTACAAGCAGATAGTTACAGTTGTGGAGTTTTTATCTGTCAAGCATTAAATGCAGATTTATACAGAAAAATAATTATTGAAACTTTATTAAAAAAACTTCGACTCATTAAAGGAAAAATGTCTCTATTGCGCTGAAGAGGTTGATAATGAATTGAAATGTAAGCAATGCTTGTAGATGGCCCATGATATCTGGAAAAATAGTTTGGAAGAGTTGTGCGAATTTTGTAGATACCGACCTAAAACTATGTTAAGCTCTACTTTACGAGATCTTTCTAATAAAATGAGCTATTAATCATTCAAATCGATACACAAACAAAACCTTCACACGGGAAAAAACCTTGAGATAAAGATTATTTATTTATTTTTTTAATTAAAACCGCAAGTTTAGATTAAATTTCGAATTAATTCCACTTCAATTTGCTTATTTATCTTAATCATTATTAAATAATTTCAAGGTTTCCTTTTATTTATTTATTTTTTTTTAAGAAAAGAGAAATTGAAATGCAACAACAATTAGAACTCGAAGAAGAATCTTGTTTAGAATTAAAACAAGTGTTTGAAAATCTCCAACAAGAAGTCGAGTTTAAACGGGAAAAATTGAAACGTTTGCACGGAAAATTGCAATCGATGCGGCAAGAAATTAAAGATAACCACACGGCTTATTTAAAAGAACGACAAGATTTGGCAGAATCAAATGACGAAGCTGCTATGTAAATTTTTGATTAAAAAGTATTTTTATTATTACAAAAATTATTTGTAGGACTTTACGTCAAAAATTTTTAATAATAGATAATTTTGTCCCAGCTGAAGAACGTTCGAGGTTAATTAATTTAGCGTATTTTGATGAAAATTCAGATAATTGGCTTTTAAAGAAAGAAAAGAAAATCTTCCGGCCTGGTGATCGACCGTTGGCTCATGATTATCGAAGGCCTATTTCTGATTATGCTATTACTCATGCAATACCTTCCGCTGGAATACGATATAGAGTAACTTTTTAAACTAATAATGATTTAATTAATAATGATTTGATTGTAGGCTGAAAATGTATTAGATTTAAAACTTGATATGCCAATTCGTACGACTCAGGATTATGTAAGACCAACGGTTTGTCCGCAGGTTAAAGCGGCTGTAAAAAATGTTATAAAACAAGATCAAGAAAACAATAAAATCGTTGTTAAATTGGCGCCGCACGGTTTTTCAATGCGTGGTGTTTCCAAAACAGAACTTGAAGGAAGATTTAATAAAGCAGCTAGAAATACTATAGAAGTTAATAATTATAATAGGTAAGACATATCATTTTTATTAATTATTTTTGAACCCTCTAACGTACATGACTTGATTAAAAAACTTTTTTAGAGTTCGTCCTTCTCCAAAATCAGCAAAACCAGTTTATTAAAACGATAAAAATGAATTTATTTTTAGATAATTCATAAACGACGTTACCAATTTTGCTTAGTCAGAGTTTGTTTGTGTTCATTCAACTCAGTATTACAACAAAAAAAATACTTAATCTAGCTTTTGTTGCAAGGTGATACAACCTTAAAAAGCATCAGTATTATTAAGTTGTTTCCTTTCTGCACAAGTGATATTAGTGATTATTTATATATTCATTGTTGTAATTTATTTATATTATGTATTAAGGGAGTCTCAACCTAGTCAACTTGTTTTTTGATTTATTTCCAAACTAATTAATTATTGTGATATTATCTAATTTTTTAATTTATAAGAATCACGATTTATTTTTATTGTATCTTTTTGTTGTAAACGGAATTAATATTTTTGACATGCTTATAAATTAAAAATGTGGACGCTAATAAACTTTTCAAGATTATTTTTAGATTAAATTAATCCCTCAATTTCCCATCATTTTTCTTTGTAGATATCTCGATAAAGAAATTATATCCAAACTGGAGAAAAAAAATTGTTCCCAAACCCCCAAAATAAATTGCAGAATCCTTGTACAAAAATACCTTAATAAATATCCTTATTAAACGATTTAAAAGTTATTTATTTTGTAAAAAATTATTGATCAATGATATAATTTGGGTGAACAACGAGTAAAGGATCATCCTCCTCCTCATCTTGAGAATCGCCTTTTAAGCCAACTTTGGTTAAAGGAATTATTATTTCATCCTAAAAACAGAAACATAACCTCAAAACGATTCTTTTTAATTTTTATTATTACTTACATGGTAAATTAATCGATCGAGAACCTTCTCAATCAATTGCTTCTTCTCCATAACATCATCTTCAGATTCTAATTGATCGGCGACGTGATTTAAATACCATTCGATAACATTACTTCGATGAACCCCACCTTTTCCCTCTTTAAAATAAAAATTAATTAATTTATAATTAATACTTCCTCCGACCAGAAATAAGCGTCCGAAATAGATTTTTTTTTGTCCAAAAATATGTGTCTGATTTACTTAAAAATAATTTATTGAAACTTAACTACAAATATCGTTTCTAAGAAACTTTTGACGGTCATTTAAGTATTTAAACTGAATTGATGATGTTTTTTATATGTTGATAAAGCCCAAAATCAAAATCTCTGTAAATGATCTTTATTCATATACCACTTTGTATCCATCTCATCTACTTTTATGGTTTCTACCATACATTGTTGGTGCGAAAGGAAAACCAAAGTATCCCAACTCAATTCGGAAAAGGTTTTTTCAACAGTAAGAATTAATTCGTCTACAGTTTTGCAAGCCGATTGTTGCTGCAATGATTGAATTGCATTAAAAAAGCCTAAATCTAAGACGTTTGTATAGGGACAATTGGGTGGCTGACATAACATTTTGATTTTAAACTCAGTTCTATTTCAAGCTTCATTAAAGTCATTGTCACCAGGAAGAATGTGTTTGGCGACGACCAGATCTTGGCCATTTTGCTTCAAACTTGTTGCCAATTTCGGGTTTCCAATAATCATTTTCTTATACTCTTCTCTAGCGACATGGTTTCTAATGCCACTACTTTCGTTTCAATGGTCCGATTTTTACTGCTCTGTTTAGTAGGTTCCAAACACACAAAAGGCCAAAGCCAAGTTTTCCATCCAAGTTCTTGTTTTCAGAATGATTCCAACGTGGACGAGCTACAGCGGCTAAGAACATTACTTTTGTGAGAAAATGCTTACTTTTGCTGGTTCCTCTTCGCCTTCAACTAGGTAGTACACGTCATACATTCGATCATACATATCGATGAATTCGGGAGCTTTTGCATTTAAACTTTTTGGTTTAAGCATTGACAGACAATACTTCAGTCTTTCAATTTTATTGGAGTCTGTAAGGAAAGGGTTGACTGCATTTGAGTGACGTTGTAATATTCCTGATTTCAGTCTATTATGAACCGTACATTTTGGTACGTTAATATAAGAAGCTAACGAACGAATAGTACGTCGATTATGTAATAGTACTGACTTTATTAGCGCCGTCTTAATATTTCTCGGTTTTCGACCAATTCGTCCTTTTTTGGTGACTTTACATCTGCTACTTCAGCACCATCGACTAACGATTTTCGGGCTTGATGCCAAATTCGGCTTACAATTTTTACGGAAATGTTAATTGAGCCTTGTTTCAGTTTGCTATTCTTACTCAATTCCAGTAACGCATAATAAATGGCTTGTGTTGGGGTTTAAGTTTGTTCTTTTACGGCCGTCTCTTGTCAAAATGTTTTCCCTCTTTCCCATTATTTTCTTAACCCCAAAATACTAACGGTATGTTGTTTGTCTTGTAAAACTTGATATAGTCTTCTAATTTTCTTGACAGGGAGGAGTAATTTTGTAGCCTTTCTTGTTGCTATGGTCTGGTACGTTGTTCTTGGAGTTTAAGAACAAATTCTTGCCTTGATAATGGTTTCTGTCCTCTTTTTATTGTATTATGGTTATGTATGATATAGGAATTAACTGCTGCAATGTTGAGCATTTTGTAGAAAAAACAAAGAGGCCATCTCCTTTCAACACCTCAGAGAATCACTATTTTGATGCCACATTTATTAGATTTATTGGGCATATATATTTATGGGCATGTTTATAATTGACTGTACAGTTAGCAATAAAAATATCCCAGATGTTGGAAATTGGGGCGAAATTGACTTTCTCTACTCATTGTTGCTCTGTATGTCTCACACAAATAGGTTGCATCAAACAAAAGCTTGGCTGATAGATGATTATTTTTTAGAACTGCAGAAAGAAGCAATAGTCTCAATTCAAATGTTTTGAATTCAGTCAGTGTTGTGTTTAAAACTGTTGCGGTTTTAACTTCTCGCATTTTTGCAATTTTTTCATTGGTTCGCACTTATATTTCGTTTAAAATTTCTTCGGTGAAAAACAAACTGAACATATCAGTAGTTTCTATAAGATATTTAGCTCGGCGTGGGTCCTACTCGAATATATAATAGTATATTATTCAACAAGCGTATAATGGCGGCTATACTGGCGGTTATGATTATACGCAAGTTGAATACTATACTTTATCTACATCTATTTAATTTTGAAAAAAAAATCAAAAAAAGGAAAAAAAATAAACTTGATAGACATTTCAGACATAACCTCAATATAAGAAAGCTGTCATTTCTGTTAATGTTTTATTTTTTTATTAGTAGGCCGTGTCAGAACTATGGAATAATGGCTTCATATTCAACACTTTGTCAGTCATGGGTAATGCGTGTTCTTACCCGTCAAAAATCAAATGTATAACGAATAGATAATTCAATAGTTGTAGATAAAATATTTTTAGCTGCAGTTTTACCGCCTGAGTTATCTACGGGAGCACTTTTCCATACGTGACAATTTTTTCCTAAATATAGGAACAGATCTACATTTTTTGTTATGAGACTGTTTGCCTGAGTCACTGAAAACTCTTTTTTGTTTGGGTTTACAGGCACATTCTAGGTCGGCTTGATACAACTCTTCCTCATGCTCATCGGGAACATGGTCTCTATCGGCAACACTGTCGTCATTATCGAATGGATCTTGCTGTACTTTATCTTCTTCATTGTCACTCACATCACTAAAATCACTGTTTTCCACAATATCATCTTGTAATTTTCAAATATATGTCTCATGTACAAACGCTAAATAGAAGATCTTAGGTCTATAAGTATTTTGCCTGTTCTGTCAAAGGTTTTTGAAAGAATAATTGCTACCAGACTGAGAGAGATTTAGTATCCTTCCTAGCAAACGATGTGGGTCTCAACACCGCGCTTGCACTACTTGATTTGTGTAAGGCTTTCGATGTACTGCATCATGAAACTCTCTTTTCAATTCTTCTTTCATCAGATGCAGCTATATGCTTGTTTAGAGGCTACTTCTGTGACAGATTACAATTAGTTGATTTTAACGATAAATTGTCTAGAGCAGGTAGCACAGGGTACCATTTTGGGCCCAATACTTTATCTTGTTTACACTGCGAATTTGTATAGCCGACTCTCGTCCTGTAATGTTCATATGTGATACGCAGCTCTATTACAGCTTTTCTAAATCGGATGCTTTGGCTGCACGAGATAATATAAATAAAGATCTGAACCACCTAATCACGCTCGCGGTTAGGCACTGCCTTGTAATCAATCCTTCGAAGTCGTCGGTTGTTGTCTTTGGGTGTGCTGGTGTTCCTGATTGTTTCACTGTGTCCCCTGGTATATGTGTCATAGGCATACACTAACGATACCCCAACATCGTTTACAATTACAGTGAAATTCCCCTAACTCGAACTTCTATATCTCGAATTATCCTCTAAGTCGAATAATTTTCGTAAGCTCAAGCGGTTGACTAGGCTTCAAATGTGTTTAAATGTGTTTCTCTAACTCGAATTTTCCATAACTCGAAGTTTTCTTCCGCTCCCTTAGTGATTCGAGTTAGGGGAATTTCACTGTATTTAAACGATCTTTTTCGTGTTGTAAGTATGCCGAATGTTTATAACAAAATTGCGGATTCGATAAAGCAGGAGAGTGTGCTGGATTTCAAGACGTTTAAAACATGTCATTTTTCATTAAACGTCAGTTGAAATCAAAACTGCGACAAAATGAACGAAGAATCGGACGAAGAATTATTCACAAATACTCCACCGGAGTTGCACGAACAAGCTAAGTGAATTGTTCCTAGTGTTTTTGTTAAATTCTGTTACATACTAATAAAATTTATTGATTTATGAAATTAGTTTTATTTTACATTTTTGCAATTTTGTTTGGTTTAATGGGAGGCGAAAAACAGTTGTGTGTCACACGTGCAGAAATGCATTAGTAGCCCTTATCTATTATACTCTGTTTTTAAACCAGGAGGAGTATTTTAAATTTGTCACCAGATTGACCTTGCACGTGATTGGTTGAATGCGAGGAAGGTTCACACACAGGCAATTTTGAATTTGAAGGTTAGGTTATTGACAATTCGACAGTTTCGTGTCATTATTGTAAATTTTGTGTNTTTTACCGCCTGAGTTAACTACGGGAGCACTTTTCCATACGTGACAATTTTTTCCTAAATATAGGAACAGATCTACATTTTTTGTTATGAGACTGTTTGCCTGAGTCACTGAAAACTCTTTTTTGTTTGGGTTTACAGGCACATTCTAGGTCGGCTTGATACAACTCTTCCTCATGCTCATCGGGAACATGGTCTCTATCGGCAACTCTTCATTCATCAGATGCAGCTATATGCTTGTTTATAAGCTACTTCTGCGACAGATTACAATTAGTTGATTTTAAACGATAAATTGTCTAGACCAGGTAGCATCACATCAGGAGTGCCACAGGGTACTATTTTGGGCCCAATACTTTATCTTGTTTACATTGCGAATTTGTATAGCCGACTCTCGTTCTGTAATGTTCATATGTATACTGATGATACGCAGCTCTATTACAGCTTTTTTAAATCGGATGTTTTGGCTGCACGAGATAATATAAATAAAGATCAGAATCACCTAATCACGCTCGCGGTTAGGCACTGCCTTGTGATCAATCCTTCGAAGTCGTCGGTTGTTGTTTTTGGGTGTGGAGGTGTTCCTAATTGTTTCACTGTGTCCCCTTGTATATGTGTAAATGGTCAAATGCTAAATGTGGTAACTGACGCGCGAAACTTGGGCTTGGTTGTCGACTCTGATTTGAGATTTAGTAAACATATAAATAACTTGCTTCAGTGAGCGTACGCAACATTGACACTTTTATATTCGGGTCATCATTTTTTAGACCATCAGTTGAAGATACGTTTGTGTGATGCCTTAGTGCTATCTATATTTAATTACGGTGATGTTGTTTACGACTCGTGTATTGATTAGTGTTTATTGCTAAAATCCAACGGGTACAAAATTCCTGCTTGCGTTTTATATATGG